CTTGGCTCTTAGGAAAAGTCACAAGTTCCTCACTGCAACTACTCTCAGTTTGCGCCACGTGCGGAAGTGAAGTTCTCTTCGCGAGTGATCCCTTAACACCGTGATGGCAAACCTATGGCACACATAATACAGGTGGCACACGGAGCCCTCTCGGCAAGTTCGCGAACTGTTGCCCAGCATGCGCGCCTCCTGTCAGCCCGCTGATTTTGGGGTTTGTCCTGCAGGCGGGAAACGCATGCACATACCTTTCTCCTCACTTTCTGCACCCTGTGCCTTCCCAGATCTCCGGAGATTCTCCTGTCCCCAGCGCTGTTTTGGGATGGGAGGCCAAAAGGGGTCAGAGGGGGGTTGTGTGCGCATGCACAGGGCGAGCACGAGGGGGGTCACACCTTGCAGGAGGTACGCCCCAGTGCGAGCGTACTGGAGTCTGCCCGGAGCACAGGATACTGTTCCGATATGGTGCTCCAGGGCCCCCCCCCCCCACCCGAGCTCCTTACCTGTCTTTTAAGCCTTTGGCGCTTCCACGCATGCACATGGCGTGCTCGACGCCTACGCGATGCTTTGCCTAGCAGCTGGAGCATCACAGAGGCTTACGGAGGCGTCTCAGGCAGGTACAACGCATGTGTGCACTGCATGCATTCATGTGGGCGACGCCGGGCCTGTTCCAACCGTATGGATCCAGAACCCACCATTGGGTCACGCACACATGGGCGGGGCGTGAGGGGAGCATGGGGGTGTCATATGCAGATGTGCAGGGGGTGGGGTGCATGGGAGGGGCATTGCATTATGGCTGTGGGCACGTGTGCATGTGTGACAGTGCGCACATGAGTGCTTTTGGCACCGGAGGAAGAAAAGGTTAGCCATCACTGCCTTAACAGATACCGCAGTTCCCCAAAAATAAGATCTTATTTTCTTTTGGCACCCCTCCCCCCAAAAATAAGTGCTTGGCCTTATTTTCGGGGAGGTCCTATTATTTTGGAGGTGCAGGAGGCCCCTTAACCTCGGCCTGTGGCTCAGCTGATCCAGAGAGGGCCGGAGAGAGTGAATGCTGGCTGGGGAATTCTAGGAGTTGAAGTCCGGACATCTTCAAGTTGCGAAGGTTGAGAAACACTGGTTTAAATATTTTAGGGGAGGGTTTATTTTCAGGGGAGGGCTTATTTTAGCGCATGTGCTCCACAGCCCGATTGGTCTTCTAATCAAGGGTGATCTTATTTTTTGGGGGGGGGGGAAACAGGGTAGTCTTCAACTTACGACCACAGTTGGGAGCAGAATTTCCACTCTCTAAGCAAGGGCTAGTTTTGTGAAGCGAGTCATCTCCAATTTCCTCTCCTTGTTTCTCACGGTGGTTCAGCAAATCGTGGCAGTTGTTAAGTGAATCGTGCAGTTGTTAAGTGAATCCGGCTTCCCGTGTTGGCTGGGAAGGTCACAAGGGGTGACCGCATGAACCCAGGATATGACAACCATCATAAATTCCCAGTGCCTGAATTTTGATCATGTGACCATGGGGATGCAGCAGTGGTTGTGAGTGCGAGGACTGGCCAAAAGTCACTTTTCTCAGTGCCGCTGTAACTCTGAAAGTTCGCTAGCCCTCCTGCATTGATCTTTCTTGGAT